GTCCCTAAATAAAGTTCCTCTTTCGTTTTTTCTTTGTCCCTAAATAAACTTCTCTTTTCCCTTAAAAAACCCCTTTTACCCCTTACTTTTTCATACCCTACCTATCACATCATACCTTTTTACTAATAATCTACCTATCACATCTTACTTTAACACATCACATCAAGGGTATTTTTGGAAAGTCAACACCAAAATATCCATCCCTTAAATCCTCAAAAAGTCAAAAATGGAACTTTATTTAGGGACGGAGGGAGTATTACTCTCTCTGTCCCAATTCTTTGTCCAGTTTTGGGGCAGTGACCTAGTTCATTGTTTGTTCATATATCTCTGTGCAATTTAATGTGTACTTGTTAAACTACTTGTATTTGGATTGATATTAAAAGTACTCTTGTTTTAAATTGCACATGAATATATGAACGAAGTACTAAGTTGATCACTGGTAGCTTCAAGAAATGTTGTAATTTGTGAGGTCCTCAAATTGAATAGCATCACACCTTGCAGAAAGAGCTAAGAGATATGGGTGATGTTCAAGCTCTGGAACTGGCTGATATTGTGGAAAACAGGGGGTTTATTAGCCATGGTTGTTTTGACTTAAATGGGATTTGGGGCTCAGATGACGATGATGACTGTATGTGGTAATTATTGTATGCTAACATGATGTTTCGTCACTATTAAGATATTTTGATACATTGCGAGTATGCTAACAACATTTTAACCCATGTATGTGTAAATTAAAGATTTTTCCTAATGTTGTGTCTGCCAATTAAATGTTAATTTGTTTAGACCATATCACCTACCCATGAGGCATGTAATGATTCTGTTGTATTGATATAAAAATGTGTTCGGTTGGTTAGGGAAGGTGCACTTGATAAATGTGCAATCTTTGTGTTGCTCAAGAAAACCCACCAAACTCAATAGGTGTGAGAGGATTACTTGGGCTAAAACATTTGACTTTAAAGTCAATTATGCTTACGAGGTGCAATTGACGTAGGTGGGGTGATGAGTTTGGGTCGGGACTTGGCGGGGGGTTTACCGGGGGGGTTAGGAGGGGTAGGAATCATCAATTTTATGAACGGAGTTCCGTAGGGGGCAGCGGCTTCCGTGGCCACTGGATTCCAGTGGCCATGGAACCGGGCCGATATATATATATATATATATATATATATATATATATATATATATATATATATATATATATATATATATAT